GTGTCCCATGCCATGGAATTTCTTGACAAAGTCAGAAAAATACTGCGCTTCTTGACTGAGTGCTTATCACCATGGATTGCAATGGAAATACGGGATGATCCCATACAGCATGGCCAAACGCCTGATTGCAATGGCTGTAATTGGTGTGGAAGAAAGTGACGACAATAAGGCTCTTGTATACGTTAAAGGATGTGAAAAACGCGAATGGCTGACTGGTATACTCGATAGTGACGACTCGACAATTGAGACTCTGGATGCTATTTACGAAGATATAGATTCTTTACAAAGTCTTGATATTATTAATACTATACGATGTGAAAAACATGTTAAAAATTGTGCGTTACAGAATCTATTTAAAATATACAACTGGTGGTCACAACGCCAAAAAAAAATATATCAAGTTTAAAAAATAAAGTATGAGATTTTTTTTTAATGTATTTTAATTTTCTTTCCCCTATCCCTGTAATTAAGAATCAATAATGAATATCAATAGTTGTTCAATAGTATGTACAATATATAATTCAATAAGTGTTCAATAGTTACTCAATAACAGTTTTAATAATGATTCGATAATTAGGAACGCTTGGCCATTTGTATTACTAAACATATTATCGATTGCTAAATTAAAATTATTGCCGAATCACATTAAAAAATCGTAAAAAACAAATATCTATTTAATAAAATCGTGTGCAAAAGAAGAAAAGAAAAGAGAGCGCAACGGGAGGAAGAGACAGCGTAAATGATAAGTATAGGATTGCAATGAGTGGGAGAGAACTGCATCCTACAATGGGTAGGAGAGAGAGGACAATAGAGAACGCAATGGGTAAAAGAGAGAAGGAATTAAACCCCTCTTCCCCTCAAACAGGGACTCGCCGGTGACGCGCTTTCCCCTCTCTCGGACCCAGCGTCTGTGATGCATTTTCTCCTTGCCTGACTCCCTCTCACACACACACACGCGCGCGCGCATACACATTATATACGTATATGCACTAACACATAGTGAGTTAGAATCCCTATACTTATCCTACTATTAGATCCACCGGAATAGCGTTTGTCATTGGCTAGCGTTTGTCATTGATTGCGTATCTGCAAGTTCCGCTCCATGGGACATAGGAAATTAAATTCCTGCGAATCGAAAATCACATACAGGGACATTGCCCTGTCTTCATTTTGTGTTCGTACCCATTTTGATTTTGATTTATATTTTCGCCTTTCTTACTATAATGAAAAATTAAAACCTAGATGCTGCAATCTTAACTAATCAAATTAAGTTCTATCAAATTAAAAAATAAAACACAATACTGTTTCTTATTTATACAAACTTACCTTTTTAAAAAAAAGGTTAAAAAAAGCGCTAAGCATGCATGCTTTTCGTAAAGTCATTTTGGGCCGGTTTCACTAACGCCAATTACTTAGCCGTGGAACTGACTAATTGTGTTTGTGTTTGCTGTTTAGTAGAATTGACCACTTATGGTTGACAGTTAATCATCGATTCGATTTAATCGAATTGGTGAAACCAACTCTTTATATATAATATTAAGTATCCAACCCAATTAATAGTAGTTTTAATTTTTCTTCAAGGATATTCTTATTGAAGGTCTTCTTATTTCAATCTAAGTAATGGCAACTTTCATTCTCTGTTAAAAATTATTACTCTTCAAAAAAAATTAATGTATCAAATGAAAAATTAAAACAGATGCTACAATCATAACTAATCAAGTTAAATTCTATCAAATTAAAAAATAAAACTCAAATGGTATTGTCTCTTATTTACTTAACTCTAATGATATGTATCATTCGTATAAAAGATTTCATATCAACAAAATTGGTACCAAGTGAAATTCCTCAAAATTTTATGTAGTATTCGTAAAAAAGATTTCACTAATTGGGGCCAAGTTAAATTTCATGTAATTCGGATACCAAATCATATAAATAATATTAATTTTAATGATATGTCTAAAAAATAATAAATAAAATGCCAATTTGAGCCAACACTGGTTATTCGTGTGTATTTTATACCATTTATTCAAAGTGAATATTAAAACGTATATGTTTCTATCTACGGTCAAGGTCTTCTTCAATACAAAGAAATTTACTTAAACTATTAATTACAAAATTACATAATGATAGCGCATACGAATATAAACTATTAACGTACAAAATACGAAAAAACTGTGGTAGTGAAATCCGAGTTAATCTTGGTCATCAAATTACTAAGTTTACTAAAAAAGAAAGAAAGAGATTTTTTGTTTTGAATGGTATAAAATACACACAAATAACTAGTGTTGGCTCAAATTGGCATTTTATTTATTATTTTGTAAATTTTTCTTTAGAGCCTATTGATTATCTTGTTTTTAATGATATGTACTATTCCTTTAAAAGATTTGATATCAAGAATTAGCGCAAAGTTAAATCCCATTTCTTTATACTATGCCAAATTTCCACTGTGAAAAATACTCATTGGAACGTAGTTTAATTTATAGTGTAACACCAGAATGCATTGTAATCTTCCATTCTTATTCTTATAATTAGCGTATCAATAATAGATTTATGATTTTTATTTAGACTTAAGTTATAATTTTTTCAGAATTGACGATTTTTTAATTGAAAGTTTTATTGTAAAATAAGTACGACTATCAAATAACTTTTCGAAAAGTTAATAACATTGACATATTTTACTTGTACTTTTGAGTATTTAATAACGTACACAGTGTAAGGGGAACTCCGAATTTGAGTCATCCTCAGCTTAATATAATAATAATTAAATAATATATCACATATTACAAACACACGTAAACATCGCCAAAATTTTTCGATGGTATGTCAAATGTGACTCAACCAAGTAAGGACTCCGTTTGACTCCTATTGCCTTGAATGATTTTCTTATTTAACTTCGTGTAAGACAGTGTTAAAGGCTCCGCACAATAAAAGAAATAGGGAACAAAGAACAGAAAATAAAAATTTCAATCTATTAGAAATCATGTATTGTGGAATATACAGTTGCTGATAAGTTGAAATTCTTATTGTCTGTTCTCTGTTCTCTATTCCTTTTATTGTGCGGAGCTCTTAACATTGTGTCTTGCAAAGAAGTTGTGAAGTTAAATAAGAAATTCATTCAAGGCAATAAGAGTCAAACGAAGTCCTTACTGGTTGGGTCACATTCGACATACCATCGAAAAATTTCGGCGATGTTTATATGTTTATATATGCGATATTATTTAATTATTATTATATTAAGCTGAGGATGACTCAAATTTGAAGTCAAAACGTTCTTTAAATCTTATTGTAATTAAATGTAATTTTGTTTCAAAAACAATTTGCGTTTGACTCCTATTGCTTTGAATGATTTTCCTTTTTAGATTTAAATCAAAGGAGTCTTTTAATATTTAACATTTTAGGTTAAATTATCTTTTATTCTATTTTATCTTACACAAAGTGTTCCAACTATGACAGTATTACACTGTCAAAAACTAAATACAAGCATGTAAAATATGTCAATTATCAACTTTTCAAAAAGTTATTTGGTAGTCGTACTTATATTGCAATAAAACCTTCAAAAGTCGTCAAAAAATTATAACTTAAGTTTAAAAATCATAAATCTATTATTGATACGCTAAATATAATTATAAGAATGAGAATGGAAGATAATGCATTCTGGTGCTACACTATGAAACTAAACTGCATTTCAACAAGTACTTTACATAGTGGAACACAGTGTAACATCTCTGTGTTCCACTGTGTAAGATACTTGTTAAACGCAGTTTAGTTTCATAGTGTAACACCAGAATGCATTGTAATCTTCCATTCTTATTCTTATAATTATATTTACTGTATTAATAATAGATTTATGATTTTTATTTAGACTGAAGTTATAATTTTTTGAGAGTTAGATTTTGAAAGGTTTTATTGCAAAATAAATACGGCTATCAAATAACTTTTTGAAAAATTGATAACATTGATGTTTTACATGCTTGTACTCAGTTTTTTACAGTATCGAACAGTGTAACACTGTGTCATAGTTGGAACACTGTGTCATAGTTGGAACACTTTATGTAAGACACATTGTTGTTACACTGTGTTACCTGTGTAGTCCAACGTTGTTGGAAAACACTCCAAAAAGCTAAGTACAAGTGTGTAAAATATGTCAATGTTATCAACTTCTGAAAAAATTATTTGGTAGCCGTACTTATTTTGCAATGAAACCTTAAAAAATCGCCAATTCTAAAAAAATTATGACTTAAGTCTAAATATATAATTATAAGAATAAAAATGGAAGACTACGAGACATTCTGGTGTTACACTATGAAACTAAACTACATTTCAACAAGTATCTTATACAGTAGAACATAGTGTAACGTCTCTGTGTCCTAGCTGGAAAACAGCCTTTTACAGTGTTGAACAGTATAACACTGTGTCATAGTTGAAATACTTTGTGTAAGACATAATTTTACACTGTATCGCCTGTATTGTTGGAAAACATCTCATGTCTTTAAAATTATCTAATGTCTTCATTCTTTTTTGGCGCCTCTGACGTTTCGGCGCTCTAGGACTTGAGAGTTAAAAGTTCATAAGTAAACGCGCTATTGCGTATATATTTTTACTGAAAAATTATTTCAATGGCAGTTAATTCTTCTCATGAGTCAAGAAAAGAACTGTTTTTATAAAGGGACTCTTCAACCAATTACCACCGCGATTAACTAATCAATTGCAAGTAATAGTAATATTTTATTAACACAGAAAATAAAAATTATTAATTTTTCATTTGATAAAAAAAAGATAGATTAACGAATCGTATTTGCTGTTTTGAACAATCCTGCCGATTAAATTAATCGCTAATCGAGTTTATATGAGTCCGGTTGAAGTTATGAGTCTAAACGAGTTAAATATCCGAATGGTGTCTTAAATTTACTTCTTCCTCCAAACATTTGTTTTCCTCGTTAGCTATAGGAATTCGGAAGCCGTCCTGCCATCCCAGCTGATTTAGAATTATGTCTATGTTACGCGTCGCCATGTCGAGATTCCACTAATCGTTCGTGACAATTTAATGATAATGACAGCCAAAATTCGAGATCTTCAATGCAGCACAACCAGGCACAACATGACACCGTTTGTATTTGGTAGCTATAATAATTAACGACACATGAGCAAAAAGAAAGGCCTAGTTTCCACCGTACACTTGATATGGGTACTAACTTTCTATTGAATAGTAATTAGTAACTTTCTATTGAATGATCTTAATTTCGACGATATATTGAAACATATACATAATATATGTATTTCATTAATCATTATGATGTATATTGTATCAATGTAGTACATCATTCTTTAAATACATTGCTGAAATTAAAATAATTTAATAGAAAAGTTACTAGTGACTACATGTATCAAGTGCACGATGTAAACTAGGCCTAATGACCCTTTTTAAGCCTTGTGTCCATGATGCTACTAATCCGAGTTCTTGATCCAAGGCTAGTATTCATAAGGTCTGTTTTTTATTGCATGTTTTTTACTGCACTCTGAACCGGTGCAATAAGTTGAAGCGAAACAAATATACATTTGTTTCACTTCAACTTATTGCACTGTGTACCAGTTCAGAAAAAGCAGCAATAAAAAATAGACCTATTGTCAGTTCTCAAGGCTTAAACACAATAGGCACAGACAATAGGCACAGGCAACAGGGAATAACGAGCCATCTAATCAGAGCTCTGGGATATAATATCGAACTTACACACTAAAGCTCTGATTGGACGGCTCGTTATTCCCTGTTGTCTGTGCCTATTGCCTGTACCTATTGTGTTTAAGCCTCATACTCAAGACCGTCTTAAGTTCAAAGCCATGGCACCTTCCATAAGGGCCGTTCCACACAAATTTGCATAGCCGCATAAACGTGTGCATAAAGAAAATTATCCAATCGTATTTTATGTTTATCTTTATGACAGAAATGTGATTGGATAATTTTCTTTATGTATATGATTATGCAGCTATGTAAGTTTGTGTGGAATGATCCTAAGACGCAGCACAGACTTTTGCATAACGCATAACGCACAATGCATAATCAACTAATCAAAATCTTTCTTTTTCTCCCAATCCATGAAAAAGAAAAATTTTGCACGCGCGCGCGCGATTGGTTGATTCCTTTATGCACTATGTATTGGGTCATCTAAAAAGTATCCGCGGTACTTTGTCATTAGATATTGGGTCATCTAAAAAGTATCCGCTGTTTTTCGTCACTAGATGTGTGTTGATGGTCATATATCTAGTGACAAAGTACCGCGGATACTTTTTAGATGACCCAATATTATGCGTTATGTAAGATCTATGCTGCGGCCATAAAGTGGGGAACAGACTTCTGCACAACGCATAAAACATGAGACATAAAAAAATAAATAAGAGTCCTTTATTTTTATGGAAAGGAAGGAAATAAAGGACTATAATTGATTCATTTTCTTATTATGTGTTAAGGAAATTACACGGTCCAGAATAGAACTGCGGAATACAGAATGCGTCATTAAAGCAGTCAATCAACGCTATTCCGCACTTTTCCATCAAGTTTTGTGTACTATGTTCACATTATGCGTCAAAGATGTATCCAGCATGAATATAATTTAAAAATTACTAACTTTATGTTAATAATTTGCTTATTAAAATAAAATTTATATTATTATATTTATTATATATTATATTTATAATATTTATATTTATAATATAATTTTTCAAATTGTAAAAACAGTTATCACTTGTAGTATTTAATGTTTTACAATTAATATTTATAATTTCAACAACAATTTTTTAAACTGCTTTAACGCATTTACAATCATTTTTCCGCATCGTGTGAACATTGCACACAAAATTGGAGTGATGGAAAAATGCGGAAAAGGGCACACTGAAATCGCACGTAATTCATCATTATTTTTTTTTATCTTGGTATTTATATTTATGCAGATTTTGTCATTTTGCTTTATTAGTCTTGACATTACACAATTCCATCATATCAATCAGCATCAAATTATTTTAACCTCTCCAAATATGACGGTTTATTACAAGAACAATGACGCATTCGCTATTCCGCAACATCAAATGCAGAATAATGTTGAGTGTTGTTTCAATGACGCATTCTCTATTCCGCAGTCCTATTTCGCACTGTGTGATTTCACCCTTATGCGTTATGCAAGAGTCTGTGCTTCTCGTCTAACTATAAGACGTACAATAAGAAATAAGCCAATCACAGTCGAGAATTCTTTTAAACTCTTAATTCTAATTGGCTGATTCTTTTTTATTGCCTCCGCACAATAAAAGGAATAGAAAACAGAAAATAAGAATTCATCAGAAACTATGTACGTATATTCCATAATACATAATTTCTGATAGGTGAAATAGGTTGAAATTCTTATTCTCTCTTCTCTGTTCCTTTTATTGTGTGAAGCTCCTTAAGATACGTCTTATGGTTACTATTACGGAAAGTATGTGCCATGGCCTTCAGTCTTGAGATATCACGAACCATTCAGAGGGCCTTATTAGCGTCTTAAGACATTACTTAAGATGGTCTTGAAATAAGAATCGACTATGAATACCGGCTCAAGTCCTGGAATAGAAATAGTTACTGTACTTTAATAACTGTAGATAGCATTATTTGAGTATATGATGTTAACTGCCGCAAGTCGTAATTTATATAAATATTTTAAATCTCAAGGGATCATTCGATTCCGGATGCTTTCTTTTACATACTTTCCTTTTCCAATGGATTTAATAATTGCATCGATTAGAGACGCGCTATTCTCCAACTGAAGAAAAAGTCATAATTTATATCAACATTAAGATATTAAATTTACAAATGAAATTATAATTTTTTTAAATACATTGAAATAAAAATAATATTTTAAAGTAAATATAAGTTTCCAATAATTATAATAAGATGAAAATGAACTCTCGAGATAACAAATAAATATAATTAGAAATTAATTTAGGCGATTGAGATCTTAAATATGAAGCAGTTATTCGAGCATTATATGTGAAAGTATTTCTTAGATCTTAGGGTACACGCAACGGAACGAGATCAGAACCAATCACGAGCGTTCCGCAGTTTTCGTTACGCGGTTTCGATTCCCTTCATCTCCATGGAGCGCAATGAGCGTAAACGGAATCAACAGCAAGTCTATAAATGACGTTTAAATATTGTATTTGTCATTCATTTTTTATTATCATGTATCTAAGTACAGAATTAAATGCATTTTTCATTGAAGATAATAATTAAAGATGTTAAAATTTATGAAATTAATCTTAATGTTATTGTAACCTTTATGAAATAACGATTTATGATTGGTTACACAAAGTCTGCGATGCGCTCATTACGCTACATGGGTATTAGGGGTTCACGTTTCAACGTAACAAAACTGGCGGAATAACAATGCGTTTTTGTATAAAACGAAAGAATCTAGCAATTAAATATTGTGTCTAGTCCCGCGAAGTGAGATTTAATCGTTAAAGTTGACGACTATTTAAGTTAAAAAATCTGTCATAGCCATGAAACACTGCGATGCGAGCATACGCTACGATTACATAATATCGCATCGAATGAGCATAATTTCATTGAAATTGAAGATGAGGAACGTCTTCTGGATAATTACCTAATAATTTATCTCTGTACTCACCACGTTGTTATTCCGTCAGTTTTATTATATTGAAACGTGGATTCCCAATACCCATGTCTGTAATGAGCGCATCGCAAACTTTGCGCAACCAATTATAAATCATTATTTTATAAAGGTTACAATCACATTAAGACTAATTTCATAAATTTTAACATCTTTAACACATTATTTTCAATGAGAGATGGATTTAATTCTGTGCTCAGATACATGATAATAAAAAATGAATGAATGACAAATACAATATTAAAACGTCATTTATGAATTTGCTGTTGATTCTGCTTACGCTTATTGCGCTCCATGGAGATGAAGGGATTCGAAACCGCGTAACGAAAACTGCGGAACGCTCGTGATTGGTTCTGTTCTCATTCCACGTTCCGCTATTCCGCTGCATGGGTCTGCATTCTTACATTCCTTTCATCCTTACTTCGGCTCCGTTCGACTTTGTCATTGGCGATGTTCAAATATTAGTTTCAACATTCGCAATTGCAATCATGTTCAATTCCAAGAATGCAACATAGGAAGCCTCTTTAATTTCATCGTTGTGAAGTCTCTTTTGCAATTAGTAGCGGCTAAATGATCACTACTGCAATTTTCGAATCGCATATTAAATACATTCAAGAAGAAATATAGATTGAGACGTATCCTTAAGAGAACTTGCGCTTACAAAATATAACTTTGAAATATTGGATCATCTAAAAAGTATCCGCGGTTTTTAGATGACCCAATATATGTTGAAACTAATATTTGAACATCGCTGATGATGGCTCGAACGGAGCTGAAACGTTCGATTTTGTACAAACACATGTAAAATCTAAGAAATACAATTCACATATAACGCTCGAATAACTGCGTCACATTTAAGCTTTCAATCGCCTGAATTAATTTCTAATTATATTTATTTATAATGTGTAAATTCCCATACAGCACAGAAAGATTGTAGAAACATTGCAATATTGCATGGTGGTTGCGAAACGTTACTGAATCATTGTTGCAAAATTCTAACAATGTTAAGATGTCCACTTTTTGTTATATTGCAACAAAACGTTCCAGCAATATTGCAATGTAATGTATTTGGATAAATTTTTTATGAAGACTCTCTAAAATGAAAACTATTTCTATATATATGTATATATCTCACTAACTTTAATTTTTCTACAAATCGCATTTTTAGTGATATGTGCTTTCCAAAAGTAATTTTTTATGATAAAATCATAAAATATTCGAATAAATATAGTATTAATTTTGAAGGATAAATTTATACAAGGATAAAGCATGTATGTGCCCCGAACAAACTACACAAATATTATCCATATTAATATAATAATACGCTTGGATTAAGTTAATCGCAGTGATTTTTTTTAAACTACTCAATTGAAATCGATTAAAAAATGACAGTATGAAATTTATCGATAAAGTTCGGGCGCTGGTTCTTGCGTTCATATCAGACATAAATACGTATATCATCGATCACATAATTAATATTTCGATAAATCGTTTTCAGCAGTTTAATTGCTTATCATCTTATCCGATAATAATGCATTGATTGTCCAAACTCGATATTATATAATTTTTTGATTTTATATTTAAAATAAATATAAAACTTAGCTAATGAAATGGCCATCAAATAATAGATC